AACCCGAACGGTCACGGCGTCACGCCCCTGGCGGGCATCTCGGGCACAGCGTCACGCCCTCGGCGGGCATCTCGGGCACAGCGTCACGCCCTCGGCGGGCATCTCGGGCACAGCGCTCCGCAGGGCGTTCCCGAAGCATGTAAGTTACACCATTTCCATCTTTCCATTCCAGAAACCGGCCAACATCCTGGTCATGGGAGAAGGTCCTGAACGGGGACGAGTCAAGATCGGTAAGGAGGACAAACGCGGCCACACATCAAACACGGATAACTAGCTATTTCTGTCCTGCCATTACTGTCTCCAGTATTCATGCTTCCTGGTTGTTTTTGTGTGCATCTGACTTTTGGAAACATGACTTACAAGAAACCCGTATAAATAACGAATCATGGCCTTTAAAAAAAAATTAAAAATACAAAGGTTCTCTGTGGGTCTTGAGACTGTCACCACAAGTTGTATTTAAAAAAAAAAACAGAAACCACATAATAGATAAGCTTATCCCAGCACTACCACAGCTCAGTTTGGTCTGCCAGTGGTGGAGCTGGCCAGCATGCCGTTACCTGCAGAACTGTGAATCCAGAGCCATAACGCAACAATCGGGTCCCCTGTCTGCCCTGTAGAGCACACAGGCTATGGGCAGCACAGCATGATGATTATCTAGATTAGAAAAAATTTAGAGGATGTGATTGTTTGTTTTGGAATGGATGCACCCAGAGGAAGTGGTATGGAAAGGACTGAATTGAAGCAGCTGCTCGTCCAAAACGGACAGTAATTCTCATGGAGTCGAGTCAAATAGGGGGAAAGGTCTTCAAAGAAGGACACCAGGGAGTCCAAGGAGTAACCATGGTGACAGCAGCTTTCGCACATTGATTTCTGAAGTTTGAATCATGAAGAACATCTGTGCATCATCCGTCTTATAAGCACTTACCCTGGTCATGGTAATATAAAATATATTTGTAAAAATACTTGCAGTATATATGAGCAAAAATGAAGATTAAGACGTCTGTGTGTCCTCTTTCCATACCTCTTATCTAGTAGAGTCATGTGAGTCTCACACACGATCCTGCACTATGACAGACACAGCATCACCCACCCGCGTGTTTTTGAAGTGAAGGAAGAAGCCAGAGTACTTCCCTGTTTTAATAATAAATCTCTTTATTGGATTACTGTACTGTCACATTAATAGAACTGAACATTAAATGTGCAATACAATAAGATTAATCCACACCATAAATTAATAACCACACCCAGATCTGTTCAGCTCCCCCCCCCTTCCTGAGCTCTACCCTTTTCCCCACCTGCCACCTTCCCTGATTTTTTTTTCCCTGCAAGCTGACTGCAAATGAAAAATGAAAGGTGATATATTATGCATAAATGGGTAGCCCCGAAAGATCTTCCGTGCAATTAACAGCACTCGAATGTCAAGGATTCTTTCCCTCCGCTTAGGATTCTCAGAATACATTAAATATCTCACGCACATCCGTAGGATAAAAAGAAGCCCTTTTTTTCTGGGTGCGAAGTCTGTGGGTCGCCCCTGCTGTCCCGCTGCCCGCTGCCAGTGCCCGATGTCATGAATAGAATCGGCCGTCAGCCCAAAACGGGCGCGGCGTCTCCCAGTGTGCCGACCGGCTAGCGGGGACGCAGTAACTGCTGTTCAGAATGTACCGTGTCACAGAAGCGGTGTGATTGTCGCACAACGTGCGACATGCAACAGGCATTTGAAGGCGCCCCCCCCTTACTTACTGGCCAGGGTTCAGCTCAAAGGCGTCCCCACCCTCCCCAGTGGACTGTGAACTCACGGATTTCTTTTCCTTTTTTTTTGAACATGCTCTGGGTGGCCTTGTTTATCAACATGCATAATTTATTGCAACTGAAACGGCACAGAGCGCCCCGGCTAAGATAACAGTCATTGTTTGGCCAGTTCAGGGCGTAGCTTTTTATGAAAAGGTTAATCTTTTTCAAATGTCAAGACATTCGTACTTTGCAAGTGACCTAAATTTGAGCAACATCTGTAAAATAAACAAAACAAGATTTTTAAAATTCCTTTACGTTTGTTAGCTCTGACGGCCATGTTACCTTTCACGTCAGCCTGTCCAGACATTTATGGCATGATGTTGGGTGTGAATGTCTAATAATGCTAGTAATGCTAATGATGCTAACTCATACCCCGTGTCACACTCTGCTGTTGCTGTTACCATGGTAAAGCTCGTGCGCTGCTCCCAGACCCCAGTGTCTCACTGTCCCTCTCTCCCCTCATTGGCCACAGCGGACATGGGATTCGCCAGGCTCTTTAACTCGCCCCTCAAGCCGCTTGCAGACCTGGACCCCGTGGTGGTGACATTCTGGTATCGCGCCCCCGAACTGCTGCTAGGAGCAAGACACTATACCAAAGCTATAGGTAAGTATATATGTGGGTGGGCGGGGCTGGAAAGTTTGGCCACACCCCTATGACATCACTGCACATGGTCCCGCCAGACAGTGGTGTGGTAGCTCTGAGCTAAGCAAAAAAATTCTACGAGAATGAAATACAAAACAGAAAAGTTGGTAAAAATTACATTTGAATTTAATTAATAAATCTGGCAATAAATAAACAAAAGAACTAATAATGAATGTCCAGAGTTTGACTGTGTGATTATTTTCAACAGCTATGCAACGGAGGCCAATTAAATGCCAGGGGGTGACATTTTGCAGTTCCAGCCGTGTTTTGGGGGGGCAGGCAATGCAGATGGCTCTGCCAACCACGGCCCACTGTGTATCGCATTGGGGGCCTTTTGTTTTAGTCCGGGACACTTAAATGTCAGACTAGGATCTCATTAATCTTGGTATGGGAATTGGAAGGGAGTGTTTGGGTGATTATTCTGGTATCAGCTTTGAGACAGAGCTGTTTGCGTGCATCAGTTTGACATTCAGGGAGTTGGACACAAGAATGTAAAACGCCTAACAATACGTTGATAAGAAAGATCTAATATATTTCAGATTATACTTCAGAGCAGCTTCAGCCCTTATGGGAGTGCTGTCATACACGTCCTGAGCTGTGTGTAGTGGGACATTGGTCTATTCTTCAGGGAGAAACAGCTCCAGTTTGTTGAGGGATGAATGTGATGGACCTCTATATTTTTGTCAGAACTTCCTGTGAAGATTCAGGGTTGTGTAGATCTGGTGGTTGGTGAGGCCGCAAAAGTTGTTTAACTCCAAATCGCTACTAAATCTCTTTAGGAGTGAGTATGGGGACATTATCATCTGGGAATATGGGACCGTCACCAGGCAACAGTGTTTGCACCGTAAGGAGCACCTGGGCCTGTAAAATGGCCTCATGCTCCTTGGCCTACAAACAGCCACACTGAACAGCCAGATGGCTGCCCAACCCACAGACACTGTGGTCTGAAGGCTTCCTGTGGCTTCCTCTAAGTGTGAACCCACCCAGATGTAGGAGAAAGGGTGAAGGCTGACCCAGCAGACCGTCAGCGGACCATATTCCTTCCATTCCACCGGAGTCCTGGGGACATGCTCATTACGGCAGCTTATACATCCTTGTGTTTTCGCCCTGCACACAATCGGTCTCCCAACAGCAGCCCGGACAGAAACCCAGCTTTGTCAATCTCACCGCGTTACGTTTTTGTTGCGTCTGGGTCACAGAGGTTCTGATCCAGATCGGTGGTGTTTTTGGAGGCTGTGTGTTTGTGCTGCTTGGCAACGGGCCTGTTGAGTGTCTGTCGATCCCCGTCTGTGAGCTTTGACTTGTGGCTGCTGTTCCTCTTTGCCCACGTCGTTTCTGCATGATTGGAACATGCCGTCATGATGTTTATGACTGTTCTCCTCAACACATGAAATAATTTTGCTGTGACAGAAGCACTTGCAATATGACTCTGTGGCTTGTGTGGTTCTCGGTTAGGTGCATTTGTAAGTACATTTAAATTTAATTAAATTATATTGAATTACTTCAGAGTAAAAGTCCTTTTTAATGTGGTGTTTTTATTGTTTTATCCGCCCTTATTTATTGATGTACAGAGTAAATTTTTTTGGTTTTTCCATAACAATTAATATACACCCATTTGAACTTCCAAATCTCACAGTTCAACTTGATCAGCTCCCTTCTTTGGTAATTTTTCTTGCGCATTTCTTAAATTTTTGGTTGGGCCCCGATATTTGATTCAGGCGTGTCGTTTTAACCTCACCCTTTTGCCCATGTAACCCCCGAAAAGGGAGAATACTGTCAGGTCCCTCTTCAGGTCCCCCTTCAAGCGCTTCTGTTTACACGACACAGAATCACTAATTAAGCAAAGATGGGTGTCCAGGAGTCCAGTGTAAAGCAAGAAGGGAATGAAAATGTCAATGACCAAAAAACGGACTAATCCAGCATGTTAACGGTGCCACACAAAGGACACGCAGGTCTTGAAGATGGATTGATATATGAATATATTACTACAAATGCATAATTATCATTTTTATTCTGGTCCAAGCTGAATGTTTGTATTTTATTTTATTTAATTTATACTAATTATGATTAGCGGGTTGGCAGCCTCGGCCTGTAAAAAAAGCGAGCTGGATTTTTAATTTTAAGGGTTTTAAATAGAAGAAGGAAACCCTGAAAGAGACTGAAAGTGTGTTTCAGACACTGGTTTCCTTTGGGCTCCTGGCTGCACCGCAGGCCGCTAGCGGTTGCCGTCGCCTTGCCAGTAATGCAGGCACCGCTTGTGGTTTTATGGGCTCGGGCGCAAGAATGTCCTCAAAGTCTTATGTTTGCTTGTTATTAGGTGCTTTCAAACTGTCATAACTTGTTTCAGGAACCAGAACCTTTTTCCAGAACCAGGGACTTTTGTCGTGTTCACACTGCAGGAACTCGCCCGACTGTCGTTCCTCGGAGGCAGTTCCAGAACCCTTTTTTAGTCCCTACTCCAGACTCGTTACTGTTTCTTCAAACACAATCTACTGAGGAGACCCTTACACTTGCTGATTGGGTGACCACAAACTCCAGCACTAACTTGGAAGTTACGCGGAAGTCTGGAGAAAAGTGATATAATTAGCCGAGCAAAAAATTGAGCAGATGGAATAATTTTTATACCCCAGTTACATTTAATGCATCAATTAATAAATGTTTTGCTTGCGTCTCCATAGTTCTGCATTGGAAAATTTGATTGCTAACCAATATACTTTTGTGTAATATTGACAGTGCTGGCGGTGAAACTCGCCAGCTTTTATTAGCGGGATAACGTTACATCGTTTTTTTATTCTGTGGAAAAGGAAAGATTTACTAAATCTGCCCAGAAAATCAGACTCATGAACATGTCACAAATTATGTAAGTAATAAATAAAAGGCTGCGTCCCGTTTTGATCGTAATCGATCCCACTAATAACTAACAAATAACTAACAAAATGGGACCCTGTAGGTCTCACTGGTTCCCTGTGGTTCCTGTTGGTCTCACTGGTTCCCTGTGGGTCCCTGTAGGTCTCACTGGTTCCCTGTGGGTCCCTGTAGGTCTCACTGGTTCCCTGTGGGTCCCTATTGGTCTCTCTGGTTCCCTGTGGGTCCCTGTTGGTCTCACTGGTTCCCTGTGGATCCCTGTTGGTCTCACTGGTTCCCTGTGGTTCCTGTTGGTCTCACTGGTTCTGTTTGACAGCAGGGCCTGCTTCTGCCTACTAGCTTCTTAACAGCATAAAATATGCATGTAATGGCATCACAGTCTAATAAGCTGTAGCATGAGTATGGTTATAATGTTTATAATGTTATAATAGTTATAATGTCGCATCTGTGCAAGTTTCTTTGCTGGCGACTCTTAAGTGCTTTAATTAACCTGCAGGTTAGTTCCTAGGTATGTGTGTATGTTGGTATTTTGATTAGGGTGATCAGATAATCCATGTCAGGGAGGGCACTTTGAGCTCGAACAGGATTTGTGAACTGCCATTTCAATGAGCAGGACCTGGACTTCCCTTAAGCACCGAGTTCTTGCTGTGTGCTGATTGGTCAGTCTCCTCTAATCACGCGCGTGTCACTAATGTTAATGTGAAACAACTGAGTGAGTCTTTCAATCGAGGAAACAAACCAGTCAAAGCATAAGAACTGAACTATTTAGACAAGGACAGGAGCCTTTCAGTTCTGCAGTACCTAGTAACACCTGAAATAGCTCAAAATGTCCCCCGACATGGAATACCTGGTCACCCTAATTTTGATGTCATCATGTCATCAGATTGATTCTACCAACCAATGACCTCATCCCCGCGTACAGCTATGTTGTTTGATCTATGCTCATGGCGCCGCGTGCAGATAGGAGTAGAGGGTGTTTGTTTAAGCTCCGGGAGGAGAGCAGGAAGTGATGTTCAGCGTCTGCTTCTGGTTTGGAGATCCTGCTGGATTATGTCACTGAATTAACAGCTTGCGCTTGGACTTACGTTCCCTAACTAACACAGCATTAAGGAATTTTTAGTGCAGTTAGCTGACGTCTTAAAGCTGATTAGGGGAATCCCCTCTGAACACCGGGCTTGCTCAGTGACTCGGCACAGCTGTCGGGTTTCTGCTCAGTGTCCAGCAGGCCGCTCTCTGATCCTCGACCTCCCCCTCAAGGGACTGTGGAAGTGCTTCTATCGTGACCAGATCTGCCAGCTTGAGAGTCAAATGATTAATCCACAGCTGAAAATTTTGATTTCATTTTTTTCTTAATTTGAGCTACATTTAATGAGATTTCATGTAATGTCTGAATTTATATAAAAAGAAAAAATGCAAGGAGAGTTTTTAAGGCATTTTACAGTCAGGATTATTAAATATGCATTGTTTTTGATACTAGTCTCACTTCATGGTGTATAATTGTATTTAATTGTATAACTGTGCCTTATACATTCCACTAGTTGCACAAATACAAATTGCTGAATTGAAACAAATTATTATTTTAAGTGAATAATGGTCATATGAAATGACTTATGAATTATTAGTTCATGCACATTGGCCACATTGTCATATATTTATAGACAAGCAAAAGAAAGTATATCTGAATATGGCATTAAAACAGGTCGGACCTGTTCATCCTGCCTTGTCAGCAGCTCTCTGTCGGACTGGATGCACATGCCCAGGCCAGTGTATAAACTGGGTACACTGGAAGTATCTAGCTGTGTTACGCACTTGGCCATGAGCTAATCTGCAGTGCTTTTCAGTGACTTATTGTGTGCATTTCTAAGCTTTGGGCTTTTCCAGCTTCTGCAGGGCTGCTGAGGGTCCCAAGGTCATGCAGTAAAACGCCTGTTAGCATTTGTCGTTGTGCATGTGTTGAAATTAAGAATAACGTATAATTAAGTTGATAGCGTTAAGTATGTCAGCTATGTCCTGAGCTTCTGTGGACGTCAGGCGTCGGCTGGGCTTGCCGCTCGCCGACACAATGCCTCCGTGAGGCGTGGCCTGCCCTGAAACCTGAGCACACCATCGCCTTTTTGGCACACGGGGCATCGCCCTGGCAACCCCCACCAACCGCCGCCTCTCTCCCGGCAGACATCTGGGCGATCGGCTGCATCTTCGCCGAGTTGCTGACGTCGGAGCCCATCTTCCACTGCCGCCAGGAGGACATCAAGACCAGCAACCCCTTCCACCATGACCAGCTGGACCGGATTTTCAGCGTTATGGGCTTCCCGGCAGGTGCGAGACCCGGAAGTCTGTCCCGCCATGGCGCCGTGGCCTCCACGTGATCGCCCGTGTGATCGCCACACTGACCTGCACATAGTACACGCACACCCCACCCTGGCAATGCCGTCATCCGGATCGGAAAGTGGCTGGCCTGCTCTGCTTCCACCTGCTCTTCAGCAGTCACTTTTGTCCAGTGATGCACAAGTGAAGCACACGGAACGCTACTGACTTACAGGCCGTCGGGGAGTTGATTAGCAGAGGCTGAGCTCGCAATAAACGCCCAGGTATGAGTGTCAGTTCGATTTTATTTGTATAGCGCATTTTCACAACGTTGTCCCAAAGCACTACTCTTTATAAACCTGGGGCAACAGTGGCAAAGAAAAACTCCCTAGAAGGAAGAAACCTTGGGAGTAACCAGACTCAAAGGGGGAACCCATCCTCCACAGCCCAGCGGAGGCAGAATCCTAATTTGCACATTCCAAATTCAGAGTAATGTGATTTAATTTGATGCTGGTTACATGTACGTCTTCCTAACAGCAAGAACCTAATAAGACCTACTGTACAAAGAGCAGGAAATGGAACATTCCGGAAAAAATGAGTGACGTTGGGCCTAAAGTGGCCCTGGAAGGAATGGGTGCAATGAACAGCTAAGCTACACACTTAACCTGAAGCACATTCTGCTTGATAGCTTTTCTCCACTTGCTGTCAGCTAAGTCTTGCGTTTCAGGTCTCTCCGAACACATTCTTACAGAAAATAAGCCCCCCCCCCTCAGTACTGTTAGGAAGAAAAGCGAATGCTAGATGTCTGTTACAGGAACACAGGGGAACCGTTCAGTCGTCTAGTTGTCTGCTTACTCTGTGTTTAGCCGTTCTCTTGTTTTTTTGGCATAGACAAGGACTGGGAGGACATCCGAAAGATGCCGGAGTATCCCACGCTGCAGAAGGACTTCAGGAGAACAACGTGAGTGGACCCGCGGTGCAGAACCGGCCTGCTGAGTCAGTTCGGAGCTCTCCAGCTCCCCCGGCGCCGTAACAGTCGGACGCGAGGTGCCCATGGGCACAGGCCCAGATGTGTAGCTGTCGTTGTCGCGAAAATTACAACGTGACAAGTGAACAAGGTGTTCCAGTAAGGAATCTAATTGTGTGTGGTGTTTAGTTGTGTATTCCCTGCTCATACGTGCGGATTACTGAACACCCTGCTGCTGCCTGTGATAAAGCTTGCCATGTCATTCTCTTTTTGTGTTTTTGTTAATCTCAGGTATGCAAATAGTAGCCTCATCAAGTACATGGAGAAACACAAAGTGAAACCCGACAGCAAAGTTTTTTTGTTGGTATGTTTTTCTATGTGTGTGTGTGCATGTGTGCGTGTGCAAATGAACGTTTGCCGAATCATAAGACTCTCGTTACTATATCTTCTATTTCCCTTCAAATCGTAGAGATGGGGGATTATGCTAGACTAAGAGCGCTGTGTTTAATGTAAGATGGTAACGGTAAGATACGCACAGTTACGGAGATGACGCCAGCCTTCCCTTAGTGGGGTTCTGACTGTGCGTGTGTTTGGGTCCTTCTAGCTGCAGAAGCTCCTCACGATGGATCCCACCAAAAGGATCACCTCAGAGCAGGCTCTACAGGATCCCTATTTCCTGGAGGATCCTCTCCCCACATCTGAGTGAGCCTTAGTGCAACCAGACCTTCAGCCCACACCAAATGTGTAACTGAATCCACGTGATGTTGAAAGCACCTAGCCCTGATTCACAGGAACTCCTAAAAAAAGACTTAAAATGTTGTGTTAAATATTTGAAGAATTTTTGTCTGGTGCTGGTTACATGTCGTGTTATTTTGCGGAGGATATTGATTAACTGTAGCAGTATTAACTGTAGCTGGTGGCGTGTGGTTTGCATAAAGACCCCAGCAGAGTGAGCGTTACTCTCACCCTGTCATTGCAGCGTCTTCGCTGGCTGTCAGATCCCCTACCCCAAACGGGAATTCCTGAATGAAGACGAACCGGAAGAGAAAACTGAGAAGGTAAAAATGTCTTCCGAGTGAGCGCGACGACCAGTCTGCATGAGGGCTCCGGCGAGCATGACTTTCCACCACTCGGGCCGGCTGTTACCGGGTCCCTCGCTCCCGCGGGCCATGGGAAATGTGACCTGGGCGGAGGTGGCTTTGGGGACAACGTTCCCATAGCAGCGCTCCAGTGTCACACGCAGTAGACCTAATGCGCCCTTTTGTGTGGGAGTGCAAGCAGCTTGTCAGTAAGACAAGGCTGCACAAATATGACCAGTATGCATTTAGGTTCTACTGGAGGGCGGGGGATGGGGGGGGGGTGTACCATGGTCAGCACAGTGATGTCAGTCACAGTTAGGCTCTTGAGCAAGGCCCTGCTTCCTCAATGTCACTTTGGATAAAAGTGTCTATTTAAATACAAATATATACAGTAACCTCTGTCAACATAGTGTAAGTGAAGGATGTCATGGAAAGAATAGTGTTGGGATCCCGCTACTAAAAGCCTAAGGCTTTCCTAGGAATTTGGCTTGTAAGGTTTAATCTCATAAGTCAAGAACGTAATTACCTTTAATTTCGGTGGGAACAATTTTTAAGCATTTGATGAACTGAGATGGAATGACAGGATGGCACATGAGAATCAGCGAGCACGACATAACAGGAAGGCGCAGATATAGTAATGGGGGAGTAGAATGGGGGGCGGAGCCAAAGGCACAGGGGAGGGGGTGTGCCGGCCAGGGTGAACTTTGAGAACTTCCCACAAGCTTTGGTTACTCATAAGTACGAGAAATCTGCCTAATGTTTGGCCGTAGCTCAGCAAAGGGTATTATATGATTTTAATCATGTATGTAAAAACTTGTATCATGAGGAATACCTCTATCTGTAGGGATCGTGCCCTCTGGGGGCCTAGAATGACATGGGTAGGGCCCCCGCAAGGCAGCCATCTGAGTCAAAACGTGAAGGAATTAAAAACGGTAAAATTTGTCTATCAGGGGTCAGCAGATCGATTGGCCAAGTTCCCTCTTTTGCCATCACCCTAGGTGTAGCTTAGTATAGTCTGTCTTAAGTCCTGAATTTTTGCATACATTCGTTTGTGTTCTCTTCACAGGAGACGTTAGTCATTAGTCTTGTATCTCTGCTCTGTTTTTCTCTGCTGTTTGGCTACTCTGTGCCAGTATGCCGGGAAGTGAAACGACCAGTGGCATACCGTCAGTATCCAGTGCGACATGAAAGCTGGAGAGGGTTAGGTCTTAGAGTAGGAATAGTCCATTACAGCTGGAACAGGGGGCAACTTTGTCTATCCCAAGAGGCGTCGCTAAAAATGCAAATAACAGATATGTTGTCGGTATCACTTAAACGATCATTTATCTTGTATCCATAAATGTAACTTCTGGAAAATCTGTCTTCATGGGGCCCCTAGTTACCCCAGCCTTATGGTAAACCCGCCTCTGTGTGTGAGATCCTGCTGCTGCAGCTGGCTTCTGGCAGTAACGTTGCGTAAAGACTCTTTGGCTACTTTTTCAGGAGTCTGACGCAGCGTTTGCTAGCCGATGCCCCAAACAGAGACGTGTCCTACCTCACTTTTTCCACTGCCTACCGTGAAGTCGGATTGGCTCCATCTAAGCTAACACACCGTACCTGTAAATGGGTGACCCAACACAGTAGTGGACATTGTCCTCTCTTCATGCTGAATACATTAGCTTCCCATTACCCAAGATTGTCCCACTCAGATTCAAATCATCTCCAGGCCAATTTGACATCAAAAAACACCAAAATAGCATCGAGTTGTGCTGTTTACCTCAGTACTTGTTTACATCTGGTCGCACCCATATTGGCTTTCATCAGGATATTCTTCTAAATGAAGCCACTGTTTGTCGGTATTCATTCCATCCATCCAGCTCACAGAATCACGGTAGGAGGGCCAAGCGGAACTGAACAGGAATGTTCCCTGAATGGGATGCCAGTATATACCAATTACCTGGAAATTTTGCAATATGCGAGCAGGTTTGCTTGATTGGGTTCTGTATCAGCTGCTTGCCTTCCTGGAGTGATTCGGTTAAGTGCTTTTGTGCAGCACTTCAAAACCCAACAAGGATACATCCAGTTACGTCACGTTTCGTGACTTTAAACACCATCTGTTTAAACATTTTTTTAACATTTCATCATAACTGCCCCAACCACACTCTGCATTTACATTTATTTTATTTGGCAGGCAGGGGGGTCGACCAGGCAGAGCTGCCAGTGAATGGCCAGGTACAAATGCAAGCAGGGCTCAGTTTGTCATGGGATGCACGTGGATGGACCCCGCCCCCCCGTGGAAAAAAATTACTAAAACCATATATCATCCCCCCTCACCATCCCCTTAAATACCCAGCCGGAAGACTCTGAACTGCAGCTCAGTTTAATCTGGATTGCGCGATTGTCCAGACGATAAATCTCATGTGCTATTTTTATTGTTGGAGATCCCCCCCCCACTCCCAGCACCCCCCTTGAAATATTTTTACAACTTGACCACTGAGTGTAAGTGGTATCGAGAAGGAGCATGAGCTACACAGCATCTGTCAAACATAGCGAGAAGCTAATAAGACTGCTGCTGTTCAAATGAGCAGAAAGTGCAGCGTGAGGAGCGTCCAGGGAACAGGGGACGGTGTCAGACTTGGAGAGAAGCTTCTGGAACAGAGGAGTCCTGGGGGAGGGTCCCTCAATGTGGAGACTGATGAGCGGATGTGGTTCAGTAGCTCATTCCTCTGCCCCACACCCGTCTGCCCCCCCACACAGAACCAGACTCAGCAGCAACACCAGCAGACGCAGGCGCAGACACAGACGCAGACGCAACAGGCCGCCGCGCAGCAGGCTCCCTCACAGCAGAGCTCTGCTCAGACCAATGGCACGGCGACAGGGACCGGGGCCACTGTGGCGACAGGACTGCAGCACGGCCAGGACCAGGCCCCGCCCAACAAGAAGCCACGCATGGGGCCCTCGGGCGCCCCCTCGGGCACTGGGGTCATGCAGTCCGAGTACCAGGTGGGAAGGGGCGTGACCTCACTCTGTGTTTCCATAGCGATGTTGCGCTGGGCTGCCCTGGGTCCTAAACACCTTCCCCAGGGTCTGAATGTGAGACACACCGCAGTCAGCAGGCATGTTTATCGGAAATCATGTCAGGTAATAAATAGCATGCATCAGAAAGTCTTGTTCCCCGGCTGTTCACGCAGCACCAGAAACATCAATAAACATGACGGCTTCATCCCCTATAGAGATTCCTGTAACTGAACTGCAGATTTACCTCGTGGAATGTTTCATCTGCTCATTCATTTAAGTGTCAATAGAAGTTGGACTTAGAGTGTTATGAGTAGTGTGTCCGGAATGACTGACATATTTCCTCGTGACAGGAATATGATTTAACACTTTTTCTGGAATTTTGAGCTTGCCATAAATGGTCAGCCCTGAGCATTGTACTCTTTTGTTTCGAGGGTTAGTTCCTTAAAGTAACTGATGAAAGGTTGTTGCATAAGGAGGTTTTAACTGAAGCATTTTGAGTCGAGCTCAGTTTCTCTAAGGTGACCATACCCCACCCCACCCCCGACCCTTTGGGAACCAGACCTGCTGTTTTTAGCGGAATTCTTCCGTGGTCCCATCTCAGCATAACAGCCTGGAAAGACCGCCCAGTCTCAGAGTACACGCCCAAACTCACCTCGTAGTCTAAATAAAGAGGATAGTTTCATGCCTATGTCAAGGAGCACTGGTCAAGCAATAAATCACAGCGATTACGCGACGGTGCCAGTAACCTGGGAGCCTGTATGAGAGCAACGAGCAGCAGAACAGGTAGTGGTGTCCGGACTCGATCTTCGCAGGGCTGCCAGAGTGTCCTGTCGTGATGCGGCGGGGGTCGTGGCTATTTTTAAAACGGGCCAGGCGGCGTGGGGGTGACAGCTGCAGGCCGCCCCAAAGTCACATCTCAGCAGTTGTATAAATATCCCCGTGCCTCGGCAGACACTGCAGCCAGCTGCACGACCGCTCAAGAAGGCCAGGGTTTCCTTTCATTGATGGCCTCCCAGTCCACCAGCCCATGCAGGCCGTCTCTCTGAGAGCATAAATATACCTTCACATGGGTTTGGCCCACTCCGGAGAGTCATGATTAAAGAGAGCCAATGACTGACATTCTCACGGGGGGGGGGGGGGGCAGTGCTGAGAAGGCATTCCTTTGGTGCCTGTTACCGCAGTGCCCCCTTGTGGCACGGTCACTGAATGTCCGCGGCGCCGTTCTGTCTGAGCCTTGGAATCCCGACAGTGACTGGCATCCTGCCATCCTGCACGCAGCTTCTGTCCAGGCACAGATTGGACCATCCCGATCCGGATGGGGCCGGCTTTAGCTGAAACGTGCTAAAATGGTTGCTGCAGGGGCCCCGCGATGCTAAGACCCCGACGTGGTTTATGACCGGTACTATCTGGTCTGTTAGCCGGTTCCAGCCTGTTCAGAGCTGGTTCATAACTGGCTCAGTACAGGTCGGGCATCAGTTTTTACGACTGGTACAGACCAGTTTTTAATTCATAATCAATTCTTGGTAAAAATGTAACCAGCTGATATGCGTGTGATGTGTACGAATTATTGGATGGTCTTTGAGTCATTTTTTCTGAAATCTATCTCTCTCTACCTGTTTTGTAGCACTCCAGTTCCCGTCTTGGTTACCAAGGCAACGTCCAAGGCTCTTCTCAGTCCCAAAGCACCATGGCATATTCCTCCACTTCCCAGCAGAGTTCCCAGTATTCCCACCAGTCACACCGCTACTGACGTTTGGCTTTTCCTTAACCCCATAGCCTTGCCCTCACTCATACTGGAGAACCTTCACTCCCAAACACTCTTCCCCCGATCATTCTCCTGCAAGCCATACCCCTCAGACCAATAGACATCCCCCAGTATGACCCCACCAGGGATCTGATCCCCTCACACTCCCTTGTAGGCCACGCCATTTGCCCCTGTTCCCGTTTCCCCTCAGGCTCCCACCCCAAAGCCACCCTTCTGCCCTGTACCTAACCCTAACCCTAACCCCGCCCATATTCGTCTAGCCCCCGCCCTGACTCAGGGCTTCTGCAATATGAAGGCAAATTCAACACAGGAACCAAAAAAAAAAAAAACAACAACAAGCCCTCTTTCACCCTTAGATGAAGAGGGAAATGCAAGGACAAGAGAAGAGAGAAGCCAGGCAGAGCCTCTGACGGACCCTGCGAGCAGAAACGCGCGTGGTGTCGTCCTAGAAGCCAGGCGGTTGTATGGGGGGGAGGCGGCACCTCTGTCCGTTTATATACCGCACCTTTTCTATTCGTTCGACAACAGACTTGTTTCGTTCGCTCTGCTGAGTTTTTAAGTTTAATTTGTTATCTCTGTAAATATTTTTTGGTATCAAACAGATGGGATGAAGCGCAGGAAACAAGCCCTTTACACACAATGGTATCTCACGCTGCACGATTCCCTTTACGTTTTTTTTTTTTTTTAATATCAATGAGAAAATAAAGGAAAAAAATCATCCCGGTGCTTTCTGGGTTTGAGGAAGAAAGAAGGAAAAAAAACAAGCTTCTCGGAATTATCCCAGCTATGTATCTGTCGTCCTGAAGTCCCTTTTGTACAGATGGAACATTGACTCTACAGGTGGCTCCATTGCGGGGGATGTAAGCTCTGCTTTATCACCATACTTTGTTAGTGAAGTGGATTCACATTGAGTTCTGTCTTTCTGTACCTCTCAAGCGCCATTCCTCACCAAGAGCCCCCCCCCAGCCAGAGACCATCAGTTGTACTTAACATTTGACAAAAATGGTTCTTTAGTTTGTGTGTTGGGGTGAGTGTGCGAGAAGCAAGAAAAATGGCATCTAATTATCCAGTATGAATGTAAACGTCCCATGGCATCAACCATGCGAATGCGGTCGTGCCCAGTTGCTAGAGATGGGCATCTGCGCAGACGACCGTGCCAGCAGGGGTCAAAGGTCAGGCCAAAAGCATGTCGCTTGTCAGAGCAGCTAAAGGTTATCGGCCCAACACCTCGGGGCTTCACCGTTTATTCATGTGATTTTTTTGTTGTTGTTGCGGCTGTTGTTGTTATTGTTCTAAATGAACTCTGAGGGATTGCACTGGCAGCTTGATCTCCACTGGACCCAGGAACAACAAGGCGTGAAGAGCCCAGCTTCTCCTCTGCACTTCCTCTCCCTCAATGAGCACTGACGTTATTCTCCTTCTTGGAGCACAGCGGAGAGATTGGAAAAGAACGATGCTGGCTGGGGAAGGAGGTCACCGCTAAAGATCTCCTCTCTCTCTCTCTCTCTCTCTCTATCTCTATCTGTCTATCCCTCTCTCTTGCTCTCTCTATCCCTCTCACATGCTCTCGTTGGTGGTAACGCTCAGTATGATGTATAATTAGTGTGGCACCATTCTCTAGCTTTTCTTATCAGTGCTCAGACTCTGTGTCAGTAGTGATTTTAATTTTGATGACGCCATCTTTAAAGCTCTTTTAACTGCCTTCGCTCTGTGATCAGCCAGTGTAGTCAGCTTGCCTGTAATAGGAATCAGCACGCTCTTCTTGGAGCCAGTAACGCCCCCCCGGTGCTCGCCTGTCGTGAAGAAAGGCCGTTTATCTTGGCTTTGATGGGTATGATGGCAGCCGGCTGATCCATCCACCTTCCACAATTGAGAGAGCGCCTTTAACAGGAACGCCATCATGGGAGAATCTCACCCATCAGTCATCGTTCAGCGATAATGACGATACAACATACGAACATCCTCAGTGGCTGTTCTGGCATTTTCCGCTGACGACAAAAGCTTGCTTTGTTTTGTTTTTATAATTTTATTGTCATTTCTACTGTCTCCCTTGGCCTGTTCCAGGAGTGCGACACTGATGTTCTTGGGGTTCATCGGAAACTAGCAATATAGCGCTCAGAGTTTTCCACGTCTGCACTGGGGACGTCAGGGTGGATGCCGGGACACTGGGCGACCGATTTGGCGTGACCACGGTCCTGACTGTTTTCTAAACGTCCTTTGTATGAAGATTTGTTACTGTCGTTATTATTATTATTGTTGTTTTGTTTTTTAATTGTTTTTTAAGTTACCGTCGTACCTTTTTATTACCCCATGGTCAGACGCAACGGGCCAGGTGATACAGCCTTCCAAAACCGTGGTGTATTCTGGGAAATCAAACCAGCAGCTTTTCAGAAGTTCTTTGGCAGACTTCTTTTCTATGCTTAAATTATGGTTAACGAGCGTAACGGCTCCACATCCTATTGCTCTGAAGTAAACTACTTAAGCGAGGTTTTAAAGTATTACACTGTATGCAGCCCGCGCTGGTTGCGGTGGGGCAATAACAGGCATACAGTTCCTATGCAAAACAAACGGGAAAAAAAAGCTTTTACTTGCGTATTGCCTCGGTTTTATTAAGGGGCACGGATCTCACAGGTTTCTTATGGTTGAAACTTTATTGGTTTTTAAATGATTTGGATATCGATTTCTTATTGTGATTCTTACAACTAAATGTTGAATCATGGGATTTGGCGTACAGCTTCGCATAATCTCCTCTTTCTCATTCATTACTGCATTATGAGAATTATATTCTAAATGATATATTGTAAAAGAGAGCATGTATATAGACAGTATACCATCATATTTATTATTTCCATATATATATAGAAAACATAGATATGTTTCGAGGTGTTTCTTGAGCACTTAAGAGACTTTGACCTGGAGTGGATCTGTGTCTTACAGAACCCAAGTACTTATTTGATCATGGGACTACAGTAAATTTGCCTGTCGATGCCATAGCGTATAATAGGAGAAGATAATTTACACTGTAAAAAGATACCTAATAAGATTTCATTAGTGTAATGCTTAGTATGTCATTGCCATTTTATTCTGTAATGATACTAATGGAGTTCGCTTGAATATTTTCTTGGATCTCCATTCGGTGTCGTCTACCAGCTGCTGCCTATTTTATTTTATTTTTTTATATAATGCATTTTTCAAAAACACAGACAGATGTGACTTTTACTAAAGCTTTGGACTCGAACCGTACATTTCACCGTGTGGACAGTGCCTTTTAATCCTGAGTTTTGACCTCATGGTTCCCGTCTCGTACAATATCCGGGACGTGTTTTACGTTGGCCTTTTTGTGTCGTGTGTGCGTGTGTTTTTTTTTTATCATTATTTTTGTATGTTTTTCATAACTGATTTGCATCTCTTCGTCATTTGATTATTTACCATAGGCAGCAAGCAGCTAAATATCACCGTCAATGTTAGGAAATTGTAAGAAAAACCAACAGCATAGTGGATGAAATATTAACTTTGTTTCTATGCGTCAATATTGTTTTTCATTAAAGTACATTTGAGATGATTCATTGTAATGCATTGCTATGATAATTGTTCTTACTGCACTGTTCTTGCTGAAATATTTAGTAGGAAATTAATACTATTTAATTTTTTATATAATGTCTTGTTTAGACACTAAACATATGGCAGTTGTAAGACAATAGGATCAGAAAAGGAGTCTTATGTATGTATAAACACATAACGATTTGATCTGATATAGATCCATGTCATAGTGAACTCCTAAGTCTGCACCTCTTCACAATCTCCCTTTTATGTTTCTTGCATGTGCTCGTCCTTTCTGGTCCAGAACTTTTTAGGCACTTACTCCAGTCTTTGAAAGTGGGTACGGACACCGACTAGAGGACAGGGACAGATATTTGACCTGCAGAGATCTCCCGCGGCTGGACACACTCTCAAAGCCAGCAGAGTCCCTTCCGCAGGCTCGCTCTACGGCAGGGGTGACATTTTCCATGCATTCTGCATGACTGTATGCAGGTGATTCCTGCAGCCAAGTTGCTTTTAGAGATTCTTGTTGATTTGCCCCGGTGTCCAGACCGCAAGAACATGGCTCTCAATTGAAGGAAGCCAGCAGAACATCAGTGTGTTGGCATATTTGGATCATCAACTGTCAATTGGAATAAACTGTAATTAAACTTCAAACCAGTGTGTATGATGTGGGGTATTGAACAAACAATCAAATGAATGACCAAACAAATCCCAAGCTGTTTTCTGACCTTGTGGTTAATGCCCCTTGAAATTGTTCTCTTCTGCAATGATTTGTGTGAAGTCTCGTGACATAACCGGCGTTTAATCCACTCCCACATTCCACACTACCTGGACATCCGCTGGCGTCTTTGAGGGGGAGAAAATCTCTGCAGGCGAAAGCGTCTCTCTGCTCCCGTGGTCTCCGCATCACCACGTGTGCGTGCGTGTAAACTCGTGTGTGGGATACGCAACAGATCAGAAAAACAAAACTGTGTCCATAGCAATAACACAGTGCAGAGGGAAAGGATCATTTATACTTTACTGCTGCTTTTAGCGATGTTGTCCTGATTTCACTGTACAAATGACTGTTAAATGAGGAAAAAGTCATGTATATTTATTTTATATCCTCTATTGTAATAAAATCTCTTTTGCTTCAGGTGGAAAACATCTCTTTTGTGCTTTTGTGTGTGTATTGGTTGGGCCATTCTGCGCGTAGAGGGGCCGGGTTCATATCAGGCACTGCATACTTCGCTGCAGTGGGAGCAGTGTGAAAGCGGTCACTGGCTGCACATGATGGTCTAACCCGCGCTCAGTTTTAAAGCTCCCATCTTCACATTTTCATTCGATGGCAAACTCACTGTTTCAGTCTCATGACCAAATGTATTTGCACCATGGACATCACTGCAATTTTGTCTTGCCGTCACTGACGCATAGCTGTCGGTCAAGGATGGGTTCACGAGTTCATATCCAGAGTCTAAAAGTCCAGACCAACCAGTTGAGTGTAAACCAACCAAAAGGTTGGTTGAAGCAAAATCTTAATCTGGAGTTTTACTCTCTGGACCTGAACTACCCACCTTGATGGTCCATGACTGTCAGGGTAACGGCATGCCGGCACACAGTGCCACACGGGCTCTCTTTGTGGGCAGAGAGGAGACGGGCAGTGAAGAGGCAGCCGCAGACTGGGCTCTGGGGTCCTTTAGCCAATCAGAGATCTCCTCTCCTCCAGCTTCAAGGCCTTGCCCACAAGTTGCTGATGTATGCCCGGCACCCGCGTGTGACGTACCTACTCTGCCACCACCCACAAGCTCGCGATGAAGTGGATAAAGACGGCGTCGGATTAGGGTCCCAGCTTTATGATCCCCTGATTTAAAAAGCGGCACTGCGATTAACGCCTTCAGCCACGTCTGTGATACGGACCACAGCGGTGCTGTGGGACCAGATGCTACTGAGGAGAAACAAGGGTATGAAGCAGCGGGGAAAACAGCCCATCTGCAGTCAGCAGCAGGAAACCAGCGATTGACAGCAACCACCTGGCACCAGTCTGGCTTTTACGTCTTCGCTTAGTGTATAAACATCATTCATAAGCGATCCGCCTGAGTTGTTTACCAAGGGTGGAGAAATGTCAGTCTCAGTTAAGTTGGTACCCAGGTGCTCCTCTGCATGGGCACAGTGCAGCTGGTTGTGATTTCTGAGGCATGTTTAGGAAACCAGTCATAGGGACATGCAAGGCCTCTGAAGGCACGGGGGTACTCAACCCCCCCCCCCTTAGATAAAAACTCTTTTCAGTCATTATTCCCTTTTGGGGCTCCTGTAAATTTAATGTTTTATTATCTGGAGCCACACTGCTGTTGTTTGCTTCGGGGAATTCAATTGTGTTTCAATTCAATATATTGTGTATAGCGCCTTTCACAGAAGTGGCCCTAAGGCTTTACATGGGTGTGTTGTAATGCATTGCTACATCATATATACAGAATAATACAAAAACAGGAAAAAAGGGAAGACAAAAGAAAAGAAAGCCAGATGACTGCAGAGAAGAGAAACTAAAATTCTCAAGTAAGGAGAAAAAAAGGTCTGGGGGTAAAGGTCAACTGGCTGCCCAACTCCACCTGCGCGTGCTAACGTTATATTCCAGGCCGCTAAATAAACTTCACTTAAACATTAACCACTGACTGTCATTGTAAGCGAAGCTTCCGTGAAAAAACAAGTAGAGCTAATCCCAGTTTCTGCCACTAGGTGTCGGTGTTACATATGCCTGAGCTAGTCTTGACTAAGCAGGCTGATTTTGCAAGCCATGCAGTTTTCTAAAAACGGTGACCAGGTTCCATTTCCCTGTGGCTAGAAGAATTGGACCTTCCTTCAAAACGGAGTTCGAATGAGTACTCTGAAGCATAAACTTGGGAGGTGGGACTCATTTCCAAAATCAACAATTAATGAATCAGGAAAATTACATTGTGTGTGCTTGGATAGGATATAAAATATATCGACTCATAGGGAAGAAACAGTGACATTACATTCTGCTATAGTGTCACAAACAGATTCCACTTCTCACAGTAATAATGGATATCGCACTAAGTACACGTTTATTTAGCTTCTATAATACCTGTTTTCCCTGTTCTAAATCTGCTTATATTCTTGGCCCTGGTCACATATAACTGTCTGTAGCCATTTCATCAACCTTTAATTAAGCTTTTGTTTCATTTTAACACATCCAGTGGGTGCCACATTCTACTGCAGGGGTCTCCAACTCCGATCCTGGAGAGCTACTATCCAGTAGGTTTTCTAACCTACCTGGCTTCTGAAGAGCCACACCTGTTCTCAGGTAAATACCAGGAGCAGGTGTGGCTCATCAGAAGCCAAGTGGGACAGAAAACCTACTGGATAGTAGCTCTCCAGGACCGGAGTTGGAGAACCCTGATCTACTGCATTTTATTAGCTTAATGGACAAAGCCATAGAACAGTGTAAACATCAGCAGCGAAACTGCTGGCCAGTGACTGACATCAAGCTGTTACTGAGCCTGTATGGAGAATATGCTCTGCCCCCCCCTACTCTAATCACTTGGGGAAATTTATTATCTGGAGGGTACACAGCAGAATGTATTAACATAGATGTGTTCCCATTTTCACTCAGTCTCGAGGTTCCCCTCCCTGCAGATGAATTATTGAGTAACACCCCCCAGAGTCAGCATAAGGTCACGCGATGGTGCGTCCTCTTCAGTCTGAGTCCACGCGACTCCGACTGCCCAGTAGTGCTGGTCCTTTTGAGCGACTCTCACAAGAGATTAGCACATTCCACACCGAGGTCTTGGGGTGGCCCCTTCCAGACTCTTCTGGGAGCTTTTGTAGGAAATCACATTAGCAGGGTGAGCTGGGAAACGTGGGCACAAACCGAAACACAAAGCTCAACGCCCAGTGCCTGACATCCTGATTGCTGGGTGTGACCATGAAAAGCCAGTCTATAGGACCTTATAACCGAGATTCGGAGGTGCCGATCAAGGCTTGAACCTTGGACTGGCTGCCTTTCCGTGCCTTATTTTGGCAAGCCTGACACTTTGGATGCTGGGTAAAGGCACTGCAGATGGAACACCGCCAAGGTCGAACTGAGACCTGTGTTGTCACTATACCATGACAGCGTATGTCACATGGGTTTACCAGCTCATCAAAGTGTGTGTTCAGAGCTTGTAGTTTTTCTGCTGTACTTTTCACTCATTTTTCTAGATTTTTACAGCAGTAATTTCCTGCTCATTTTAATTCTGCTAATCCCAGGCAGACAGGACCCTCTTCCTTCCTGCTAGACTGTTGATAAGGAGAACTGGGTAAATTTCCTTGTATGTTAACAGCTTCTGAAATATGTTTCTATTTTTAAAAGTCACACAAATCTGGATGTCACCCTTCCCGTTATTATGTCTTAATGAATTTTGCCAGTGATAAACTGAGATGATCAAAAAAAATCATTAAAATGAATTTGAAATATATTGCAAGGTTAGGCTGCCTGTGTTGAACTGCACTGTGCCTCCCACCCAGGTTTCTGTTCAGTGGTTGCAGTCCTAACTTCACCCCACCCCCCAGCACCACAACCCCCCTGTCCTATCTCCTAGCACCCCAACCAACATGACTGGTCTACAGCCATTACTGGAACAGTGAAATTTCTAGCCATGGTAGGTTGCAGTCCAGTGAAAGACTCCAGTGAAGTAATATCCCAATGCCAGCTAAACCATTACAGCTCTTCCTTGACAGCTCTTAATTTCTGAACTGTTTAAAGAGAGTTAGAGCTGTATACACTGTGGCCCAGTAGGAGCAGGGTAAAGAGCCTCTGTGCATGAAGGGCACCAGACGAGTATCAAAATAGCACAAGTACACTTGGATTAAACTGGCTGAAGCATGACCTGAAGCTGTCGTCGCAAGCTGCATCTTCAGTGCTGAGCTGCCGGGGCTGGTCCTCCGACCGTGAGAAAGCCCCCCTTCTTTGCCAGGAATGTGGGTGGTCACGCTCCTTCCCAGGAACCTTATCGCCGCAAAGCCCTCTCCATCTTCATCGCAGCCCTCAGCTTCGCTTCTTTGTTTTTAGCGCCCTCATCAAAAGCCCTCTTTTTTTTTGACCCATTTCTCTGAACTGCCTGTTTGTTATCTGAAACCTGTGGTAGACAATATGCAATCTAAAGCTTCTGTGAAGAAACAGCAAGGGAGATATAGATTCTGTTGGCTGAAGAAACTGCCTGATGACATTATCTGAATTACAAGAGCGCTCTGGTTGACAGTGGGTACAGTTTTCCCTCCATTTCCAGTTCGTTATCTAAGGGAATCGTATTAAATGGGTCTGACAGCTTCTGTGTAATATGCTGGATTTATTTCCTTCTTCAGGTGAATCTGGAGCACAGGGCATATTCATAAACTGTCAAGGAGACCTACTGACAGATTGCACCCAACAGGCTACTATCAAAACATTGCAGTGTCGCCAATATTTGGCAGCAGATTTCTTTTGCCAGATTTTTATGTCTTCAATGAATGGTTGTGCCATGTGGTCAGTATCACTCAATAAACCTCACACACCATCCAATAATAACCATATAAAATGCAATATTCTAACCCAAAAGATCTTCACTTGGGATGCAGACCTAACCCCAACAAACCAAAAGTTTTATCAGAACGATATGGGGATTTTCATGGGATTTCACCAGTATATGAAACGTCCAGGGACTTGAATGAATGGTAAGTACCCCCTCCATTCAGAAACTGTATACTGAACGCTTGGCAATACTTGCTTTGTGCTTCAAACCTCAAAGCCCACCACACACTCAAGCTCTCATCCAGGGTGGGTGGGCCATAGGCCCCCACAGATCGAAGAAGCCAGCCCGTGCGAGTCACCGCATGAGGCGGACGCCAATTCACCCAGAGGACGAACGTGCACCCGCTTTTTCCCGGACAGTCTCCCACAACCGCATGGTTTTTCACTTAGCCTCGCGTGTGGGTCTGGATGCAGCGGCCAGGAAGAGCGAGCGAGTGAGGCTGGTGGCTTCACATCTGCCGAGTCTTTAAAAAACAGGGGACACCTGTTTATGACGCCAGTCCTAGACGACTTCAATCATATGGTTTAACAAGAAGGCTGGGCTCAATGACACAGAAAAGTACACTTGCTACCACAAATGGAAAACGTAGTTTTAACCAGAACATGTGTCTTTATAATCTGTGACGAAGACAGTGGTGTCCCGGGTTTGACCTTCTGAAGGATGCGACCTCAGCTTGGGCATGCTATTTAAAGGGTCATTTACACTATTATCCATAACCTTAAGGTAACGCTTGTCATTTATATGATGCTTTTGATCCCACGGCTTCAATTAGTGTTTATTGCTGCGATATGCATGTGACTTTATTAATGGAGCAAACATCAGCCGGACTAGCAACAAATTTAGAGTAAGGAGCATGAGCTTTTGTGTCCAGTTATCGCAAAGCGCTATTCACGCCCTCTGTCCCCATCTTGCATTCCACATGGGCAAAGAGACACTTGACATCACAAGTTCTCAGTATTTATAGCCAGCCTGAAAGGAAAATAATAATAATAATAATTTTACAAAAAAAATCTATAGAAAATCTAATAGTTTGCCAGACTGAACGGAATAGCGCAGCATATAAACAATCAAATGAAGCTCCATTTCTGCATTTTCTAGGTGAATAAACGTTTTTCTAGTCATCCTATAGACAGCCGTGCATAACTGACTTCCCTATATGGTGGCAGGCATAACAACATCATACAGAGTGTAAAAGGATTGATTGTCCAACGAGCACGTACAAGAGATAGAAGTAATTGCTAATAAAAAAAGTCGTTAGCCTTTGTTAACGTTTGCCCAGGCAGATATCATGCTTGGAGCAATATATATATATATCCCTATATATATATAGTACTGCTATAAAGCTCTATATTACAAATGTTTTAGCCAGTCTATATTTTGCGTTTTGAAAATTTAGCAGCTCGTTTTAATCTTTGAGTCGCGCGCACATTTGTCCTTTTAAGGGAATACATACAGAACACGTAGTGCACAACATTTCAAATTATAGACGCAAATATATGACCTGTCGTGTATTAATCCGAGGCATGGAAAAAATAGCCAGGAGTATGTCAGCGTTTTCTATAATAATGAGTACACCCGTATTTTAGTGCAAAATTCGCGGAGAGCGTTTCGCACGGGCTATTCCGCCTGGCTCGGGTCGCCTCTCTGCGCCCGCAGAATCCTCCCACCTGCTTCCCTCCCACGTGTCTAGCGGCAGTTTCCACTTGAATAATAACTACAAGTCTCTTTTTCCCCTGCTTTCTTTCCCTCTCCCTCCCTCCCTCCCTCTCCCCCTCTCCCTCCGCTAGCAGAGCAGCCCGCTCCGCTGCCCGCCCCCCCTGTCTTCCCAGCCATCATTTTCCCCTCGCCTCGCATTTTCTCTCGCGATAGGCGCTCGTTAGCGCGGCCGCCATATTGTGTGACAGTATTTTGATTCGTATCTCTTTGGAAGTTAGGAAGGAAAATAGAAAATAGGGGGGAGCAGAGGGGGGACGAAGACGAAGAGCTGTCAAAAGAATTCCCAAGTCTCCGAAACGGCGGGGGGGCCGCGGCACTCTATCTCCCCCCGACTGAACCACCAAAACAGAAAAGGCCCGTGTAGTATTATTCACCCCCCCCCCCTTAGTGAAGCCGCTCCTCTCCGCCTTTCTGTCGGCACCCCGGCCCAGTGGAGATCCGGTGGCGGCGTCTCGGGTATTGAAGGTGGCCCGGGGAGCGGCGGCGGAGACGGTAAGAAAGTCTTGCGAGAAAGGCCCTGCCGGTGGTTCGAACGGGTTTGGGAGGGGGTTGAATTTAGGCGTCTGGGTCCAAGCCGTCAAACGCAGGTATCTGGCGGTCGTTTAGCGGTGGCTAAATAATTCACCCGCTTCCAGACATCCCCAGTGAAATTAGGGGAAAAAATCTCAATAAGTTTTCAGGTGTCGAAAAAGTTTCTCTGCACCTCGCTTAAGTGAGGTTATGGGCAATGGCTATTAGTGCCGTTCGCGTAAAGTTGGCGGTACGGAGTGAAGAGCGGGTAGAACTTGTTTGTTCACCGTCATTTAGCGACAGACTTTTGGGAAACTCGGTGACAGTGCGTGTGTCTGGGTGCTCGTACCCCTCGGCCTTGGTGCAGGACAGAGGGGATCCAGGCACGTCGGGACTGCGCCCACTTAGCTGCTACCCTCACATTCTTAACTCTTGAAATGAGACTTTTTTCTTAAGTATTGGGTCACATTAAGATTCTGAGTTTGTTTCTGAGTTTTTCCATATTGTCGGAGTTGGCCATTAATCTTTTACGGTTCGGTAATTTGGTTACTGTGTATGTATATATATTTTTCTAGGTTAATTGGTACGTGTCGTTTACGTCTGAAAATGGTATCAAATGCTTATGCTTTGGTAATGACTAAGGATAATGTTCGTGTGGCGTAAGAGCAGTAAGCTGCCAGCCCCCACCCTAAAGTGAAGCCGAAGTCTTTTTCGGATTAAAAAGAGCCTCGAACACCGAGGACACCGGGAAAGTGTCCTCGATGTGCCGTGGTGTCGCCGTGATCCGCTATTCTAGTTAAATTAAATGGAAGCGGTGCGTCCAATACTTCCATTCTTCGCGTGGATATATATATATATATATATATATGCATATTTATCTATTATCAAATTCCGTAGTTAGTATGACTACCCCTCATTAGTTTTCTGCTCAAACCTATTTTTATGTGTAAATATGGACAGAGGGGTTAATGCAGACACCGAGTACTTGACCACGAAGGCTACGCATGTAATAAGATGCGCGAGACGAGCCGAGCGGAGCGTGGCACCTTCGCGCGCTGCTCCTGGGAAGCGCTCGTGCCTCTTCACGCGGGGTATGAATGGGCTCACTTTGCATGGCAGCTCCTCGGCCGGACCTGTCCGCCTGTGTGTTATCACGAAAGCCTCACACGTCCTGTAAGCAAACCACATGCTGCTGTCAGGTACGATCTTGTGCATGAAGTATATATACCAGGCAGACCGCCACAAGCAACCGTGACGCTTTTTTTCTTTTATCTCCTTACAGTTGCTTATTACGTGCATATTGTATTGGTCGACATGATGTTAAAACTAGATTTTTGACATTTAGAATTTACCTTGCATGCGCATACTGTAATTTCCGCAGTTTTCTTAATTGATATGAATTTGCTAATGGTACTCGACTGTAATCCATTGAAACTGAAATGCTTAAATATTACGCAGGAATCCTGCGTATGTCTCTTTTGGTTTCATAGTTCTGCATCTACTATCACTGTTTTGCTGTTTTAAGGGTGTTAATATTTGTTAGATAGATTTGGTAGATGGGCACAGGAAGGAAGTAACAGACACCCCGAAATGGCTATCCATTGGGCAGTTGAGCAGTCTGTTCATAGGTGTGTGTGTGGGGGGGTGTTGCTCAGATCACCAAATTATGAACCGACACTCAGTCCAGCATGTCTGTTTAACATAACCAAATAGTTTTAATTGGAAGTATATTGTAACTGATGAAAACATCACCAAGGCAAATGCACTTAGGTTTTGTGAACGACTTGAGGAACATCTCAAGTTGGTGCATACTCCAAGCCAAGTGCTAGTGAAAATACTGAAATCTGTCTGTAGATGTTGACTAGTTAGCTAATGCAGTGGGGGTAGAACAAGCTCCTGTTGTCCGTTATTACAAACAAACCGTGGTCAGTGTGATCTCCACTGAATACTGTTGCTGCTTCTGTACTCACCCTCATAGCTTCTTTCACATACAAGGCTAGCTCACTTTCCAGACGTGTTCTGATGAGGAAACGTCGAGCCCGCATATTCTCTTGGACTTGTCAGGAAGAGACAAATCACCTAAATAGTCTTATCTACTGTACATGCACACTATGCAAGATAATCAAATGAAAACACCTAATGTATATTTTTGATGGTATAATGTTATCTTAGATTTGAGGGGAAATTGGCTCCAGGGTCTGAAAATATGTGTGTATATACTTTTTATAAAAAAAAAAAAAAAGAAAGAAACAAACTGCCCGCAGTTGAGTAAAGAACTGATTCAGCCAATGAACTGTGGTAGTCTGGGATATTGTGATGATGCATAGCCTGAGATTTGCATCAGACTTAGGGCCATTTACCATATATAGTACTGTAAGTTTTTTAAAAACAGTGTCCTGTAATTTTGCATTTGCACTATTCACGTGGTTGTTTTTGATTGGCAGTATTAACCAGTGTCTTTTATTTATGTATTTATATATATATATATATATACACACACACACACACTCTGTCTTTGATTTATGCAAAATGGTCTCTGTGTATAGGTGTATAGTATGTGAAGAGCCGATGCACTGTAGTTAGCATTGCTCTTGCTGCTGGAAAACACACTCATACTGTTCACGTTAAACATATATGCCTTTTTAGACCAATCACTTGAATCCGTTTCAAATTATACGTTGCACTCTGAAATAAATTTTTGGCTATGTCTCTCATCCTGTGTTTGCTCCAGGGCTCCGTCATGTATGATAGCAGTTTGGGGGTGGGTCGGGGGGTGTGGATTCAAGGAATTACCCACGGGCAGTTTGTGCCTGTCCTGACTTGCTGTCAACGTTGCTCCTCCTGACCTGTGAGCCGCCATGGCCGGTTGTTTATAGGTGCAGACCCCTAACTGAAACCATGTGTGCTGAAAACATGGCTAAGTGGAGGGTGCAGGCTAACGGTTGGACTCACCAATTTTTTTGGCAGAGGAGGCTGGGGGATGGGGTGTACTTTACATGCCCTGATTTGTGGAAGTCCAGGGCTCAGTCACACGTTTATACACTAAGATTGGCCAGATGTGGAGTTCAGTCCTTTTTGTGGCTGATACTGATTCATACTGATGTTTTTTGTAGCAGAAAGAATTCTGAACTACTTTGACAGACTATTTCTGAACTGTACTATATAAAAAATAACTAAATTATCGACTTGTGTGTGACAAAGCACTGGCTGTTTTTATAGAATATACTAGCACACATTAACTGTTTTTACTTTCTTTCCTTAGGTGTCACTGTTACACATTATATGTCTTCTGTTAGGCCTATTAGCTGATTTGCTTTGTCACGGCTTATTTGCGGTGTAAAAAACATTCCATTGTCGGTTCTTGCAAAGGTGTTTTTGTCCGCTTTGTTTAAGCACTTCATGTGGTGCTTCAGGATATTGTTGTTAATTACCACCAATCTTGGAATGCTCAGTCTAGAAAAACCTGTTTCAAGTTTGATTCTCAAGCTTCCTTTTGAATTTGTTTAGGGGATAGGAATCACAGGTTCCATATTGATAAACCTTTCGTTATTTTGCATGACCATAAAAGAGTGTTCGCTTGTTGTAATTGTAATTCCTAGGTGTCCCTTGACTTGAATGTTAATGCAGGGAACTCATTCGAATGTGTAGAAAGCGTGATTTATTTTCTAGCTAATGTATCTTCTTCATTTTTGTGCTATTTGGAGAAGCGGACTGTTTTGCAAGCTACACGTGTCACTGCTCCATGAAGCGGTCTGCATCTTTTTTTTCTTTGAAGTTGACTTCAGTTACTGACTGAAGGCAGCCATGACATTGGCTATGCCTTAGTAGTACGTTGCTTTCTGAAAGTGGTGGTTTTATCCCCAAAACCAAAGAAACTCTCTTTAAAAAAAAAAAAAAAATCTGTTTGATTCACATGTCTTCTCCAATTATGGGAGAAATCTCACGCACAATGCAACGAGGAGAATAGCCGAGGATACACGTGCATGCATGCTTTGGCTAGCTTTTGGCTTGGTGTTGCTGAATCACTGCATGTCGATAAGATTATAAGCACATATTTGGAATCCCATGAAGGAGGGGTGGTTTTCCAATAACATTAACTTTCTCCATTGCTGTGTAGTGAAATTTAAGGACATTCAGCTGGTTGGACCTCATTAAAGAAAGGCAGCAAAGTATCTCTGTCTATATATATATAT